GCCCCATTCTTCAAACCGAAACTCATTACTGCTTTACGGCAGAAATAGACAGAGTGGTGGTATCTACCCATGCGGACTCACGAGAGGTCCTATCACCAGTTCACAGAATGTGATGTAATGAAACCTTGAACTTATATTCAAAGGTGAGCGTCGGCATTTTTGTTACGATGTCTACGTGCTCTAATATCCACTTAATACCAGGTGGGTCACAAGATGATCTACCGTAAATAATGATGAAAATAAAATAAAAATTAAATGCCAATCCCAACCTACGGTAATCATAGCAATTATATACAAAACATGCAATTTATTTTAGGTATTGTGAAGATTATTGCTTACAAACAGCAATTTATGATTTCAATATGAATTATTTATAGTTAGACTTAAGTAGGAACAAATATCTCTAGATTTATTATACATGAAAACAATGAAAAAATTTTATCTAACAGTTTCTTGAACTGGAAGGTTCAACTAAAACTTATTTAAAGTACAGTTAGCCACAAACAATGAAACAACCACGAAACAAAAAACCGCAGGTATACAGAATGTTGGCATGACATCAAAGTGGGGGCCGTGCACATGACTGGTCCCACGTTGAAGGGCAGACCACTCATAAGCGCAACACAAACGTCCTTGACCCCCGCCGTGACCTCAACACAGCACAGGAAGGCACCACCCTTAGTAGGTGAGACTTGACTCACAAAGGCTTTGTCATCCACAACGAGCTTCGACGAAAGCACTAATACAGTCATGTTTTCGATAACAATGACTGGTATGTAAAGGAAAACCTCGTCAATTACTGTAATTTGATGGAAATCCGATTATTAAGAATTCAATAGTAAAAACCAAATTCAAATGATTCCATCCACGACTATTTCGTACATTATTACAATATTTAGTTTAAAAAGCTCTAAAGATGGCTTATAGTTTTTGGAATGAAGTCCCTAATCGCACGTTTTATTTGCGGGCTGAGGGCTAGATGTAGAAAAGTAGAAGGAAAACGTCCTAGAGGCCGGAGCCCCAAACGTTGGTCCGACCAGATCTCCGAGCAAACCAGCGGACCACTTAGCGCTGCACTACACCAGGCAACTGACCGGAACCGATGGAGGCTGACAGTCGACAAGCTAAAACGGAGTCACGATCCTCAGCAATGAGGGAGCGATGGAGAAGAAGAAAGAAGAGGGCTAGATGGACCGAAAAGAGTGTAACAATGAAAACCGACATCTTTTTTGCAGTGATTTTTGAGGCAATCCCCGATCATCTAGGAAACTGAAACTTTTTTGTATTCATTCAGCTTGCCGTAAAATTTGTGAATATGCAAAAGCATTTTATTTATGCATTAATAACAAATAATATAATAATAAAATAGTAAAATATTTTTTTCACTAATATTCTAAAAATTTATCTATATTATTATTATTATTAATACTTTATTTCAGTTTTCTTTTTTTTTTAACCATAACATTTAATACCAACTTTATTCGCACTTATTTAAATTTTATGATTCGTTTAATTATTTTATATCGTCGAAATAAAAATATATAGCCAAAGTAACTCCGTTCTAACCAGGTGTCTATAAAATACCTCTTTCTTTTTTATTTAATTTCAAGTTATGTCTTAGTTGCATATTATTATGTTTTTACTTTTATTAAAAAATTTAATCTTATATGGGTGGACGATCTCACGGTGGAAGACCATATACATCTACAACGTAAATGCCGCCACCCACCTTGAGATATGATATGTTCTAAGGCTCAGTTTTTACAGAAAAACTTTTCTGTCCTCTCCCGGCCTTCAAATCGACACACATTACTGTTTCACGGCAGAAATGTGCAGGTTAGTGGTACTTACCCATGTGGACTCACAAAAAGTCCTTACCACCAATAATTACACAAATCATAATTTTCCGGGTTTGATTTTTATTATTTTTATTCATCATGAAGATGACGATGATGATGATTTTTATTGCGCGATGTTATTCCTTCATCCTGGAAGTTAATCGAGAAGATTTGTTAAGTACGTATTATGTTAGAAGAAAATCAGGGTTTCAGTGAGTCTTTTCGTCTTAAAAAGTAAACGAGTGTTTGGGCGTCTATGATTTTAACTTTTGCTGATTGTCATCAGGAACAGTGAACTTAACCTAGCTCCGTGTAAAACGATCGAAGTCCGATGCTGACTAAACCGCATTTTTTGGGCAAAATGATTTAAAACCCAAAATGTTTAAGGTTGTCTAAACAAATTGATATTGGATACTTTCTTTCTTTATTAAATTGGTCTTTAGACAAAAAAATCTTGATTCGAGAATATTTTTTTTCAAACTGGTCACAATACTGAAAGGTCATTGTTGTTTTATTTTGTACTATTTTCTTTGTTGGTTAAAAGTAGATTTTTACCATGTCATTGAATATACATTAAATGTATTATAATTTGACATAATTTAGCCATTTTTTTTGGCCTACGGACTCCACAATAGGTGAAGGCCTCCTTCAGTTTCTTCCATTTGCCTCTATCATTTGCTATATTCTTCTGGTAATTGCATGTTATTTCTGTTAAGTCGTCAGCCCACCTTACCTTTGGTCTGCTTATTCTTCTTTTTCCTTTTGACCCTTTCCTCTTAGTAGTTTTAGCTGTCCATCGAATATCTTTGTGGTGATATGTGGCTGTGATATGTAGCCAGCCTATTGATATTTCAGTTTTAGGGATTGCGTGAGGGCATCAATTATCTTGGTTTTTTGGCTAATAATATTTGGCTATAATAATTGCTCTGAGGAATTATTCGAGATGATACCGGCATCTTGTTTTTACCACCGCACCGCTCGCCACCGGAGTAGAGTTCACCTATACTACCTGGAGCCACTGCGGTCATCCACAGTGCGCTTCCAGAGATCTTTTTTGCCACGCACCATCCGGCTATGGAATGAGCTCCCCTCCACGGTGTTTCCCGAGCGCTATGACTTGTCCTTCTTCAAACGAGGCTTATGGAGAGTATTAAGCGGTAGGCAGCGGCTTGGCTCTGCCCCTAGCATTGCTGAAGTCCATGAGCGACGGTAACCACTCACCATCAGGTGGGCCGTACGCTCGTCTGCCTACAAGGGCAATAAAAAAAAAAATGTGCTTCTGGCTTTGTGTATTTTTTTTATGTATTGTATAGTTCGGTACGAGCGGAACAATACTGTATCATAAATCCTATTTCACTCGCAAGTTTTATTGATTATAGTTACTTAACGATCGTATCTGCCAACGAATTGACTAGGTATTGAATTACTTTGAATATTTTGCAAAGCTTCCTCTTTGTCGGGGATGTAACAATGAATGTCTTCATCTTAACCGTTTCTTATTAAGTAAGGATGGTGTACTCGTATATCCAGCATCTATCTCGGTACTTTGGCTTGCAGCTTAGTGACCGGCGGCTTGTATGATTTCGATCTTTCTCGGTGAAAGATTTTAGATTTGCAACTTTAGGCTGGGATAAGTTTAAATAAGAATATAAAATGAGGACAGCACTATAGATAAATGAGTCGTCTATTATCAAAGGTGGCAATCTGTGCATTTGAACAAAAAAATGTTATTGATATGTCAATACAGATTGATTTGAATATAATCGTCTCCTTCAAAGAATACGGTTCAAAACCTGCATTAAATAAAGGTTAATACTTAACCTGTTATTTATCTAAGATGTCGTTCAGAAGAGTTTTGTGACTGCCAATGGAATACAAAGTCAATAATTCGTTTTTCTGATTTACCAACAATTGTCCAAAAGTCACATTGCCGGCTTTGATAATAGTCGACTCAAATAGTGTTGGATTTATAGCAGTAGTAGGTTCATACATCCATATCCTCAGATTAAATACCGAATAGACTTATCATTTGACCTGACCTTTGACCTATAAGTAAATAAGTGGAGTCGGTCACTCTGAAAGGAAAATAAACTCGCAAAAAATATTCCGAATGGAAATCTTATGCTTAGGTTTAATATTATCTCGACACAGGAAAATCCACAGTAATCCAGTTTTCAGAAAACTATTATTTTGATGTCATAATGTATGTAATTTATAACTTGATTATGCATCGTCTGCGTTTCAATTCAAGATAAATAGATTACCGTTGGGAAATTGGACGTTAAAGTAAATGATTTAATAGACATCTGTGTTGTCTGCACAAATAAATCAAATTGAAGTGTGTGACTCAGATTTTGAGTTGGAGGCGTTTTTAAGCTCAATTAGTTATTTGTACTCCCAAGTATCGAGGGCATTTTTACTTTGTGTATTTGTTTGAGTTAATGAGGAATGGCTGAATTGATTTTGATAATATTTTCGCTAAAAACGTAGAAATTGGTACGTCAGTATAAATTTCACATGTTTTTTTTATTTCGGCAATATTTTTGTTTAATTCGTAAAAATCGACAAACTTATATTAATTTTTAATTGTTACCGTTATCGGCTTACGAATGCTACCTGAATGGAAAATATGTTTGTATATAATACAATCAATAATAATATATATAATGAGAGTCCGTGAAGCTTTTCCGTCTGCCTACAGCATATACAAAGGTTTTCTCTCACCCTAGGGCCTAGACGGTAGGTAGTCTTAAGAACATGAAAGAATCGCAAAGTTCAGTTACAGTGAAAAAAAAAGTTTAAGAATCAGTTCTCCTATATACCGATTTTGTAACACACGAACATTGTTTGATACTGAACTGAATAACTTAACAATAAAATGAACAAACTGTTTACTTCTTCTTCGTTCTTCTTCACGAGATGTGTTAACTATTGAAACATGTAGTACTTTACAAAATAATACTCACTGTAATACAAAAAAAATTGTTAAATTTTAAAGCTAATAGAGGTAATAGTAAAAGCTGTGAGTTGAGTAAGTGCTAAGTTGAGTAAGTAACTCAACTCATAAGTTACTCACTGAGCAGGGCGGGCGGAGGCATTGAGTTATTAGGCGGCTCGCGGTGGGGCGACCGTTCATGATTATATTAAGAGCGGCCCGACCACGCGGCGCACACTCATTCAAACTTGCGGGCTGCGGTAGGTCGTGTCACAGAGTGGCGCCACGATCGCAGTCTTCCCCGCTACGCGATCTCATACACATTTTCTTTGAAATTTCGTGCAATTGCAAAGAAAAAAGTGAATACGCGCGAAACATTCGGTGACTTATTGGTGCCTTGTGATTTATGTTTTTTTTACATAGACTCATTTTTTATAATTATTATTATTATCAAGATCAACTTCTTCGATATTAATAAAGAAGGACGTGATCGCGTTAGTGATTCGAAGATTTCGACGCTTCGATTAAGAAGGATTGCGTTTGTCAACGAAGCAATAACAACATTACAGGTCAGTATTGAAAACTCTAATTCATACAAGTTTATGTTACTAACTTTATGAGGCATATATTTTATATACACCAATAGTAGAGCGAGTTTCAGTCACCTGTTCATAAAAGGTAATTATTTATTTACCTTACAATTTTCCTGTTCTGTTCATAGATAGGAAAAAACGTGCATGCATAGACATGGTATAGGTAAAAAATTACATTAAAATATCATCGGGGTTCATTGATTTATAGCTTTTAATATTTAAGTTTACGTTATATACAATCTTTCTAAAATCTTTTTAAAATTTTTAACAGAATCTTTTTAAAATAGTATTAAGGCACAGTTCATTTTACAATTTATCTTAACTATTAATTTCTTTGAAAAATTTTGCTCAATAATCGAAATCGAAATCATCGATTAACATCGGTTCGGTGTCACGGTCATCCGTCACTATTCTGACATTGTCGTAATGATACGCTAGACTAATTTTTATAATAAACGCTTGTGACTAAGCCCTGCAAACTCATGAATAACGTTGATGCTTCAAAATTATGTGATATAATCCAAAAACAGCTTAAGTGCCCGACTGACTGTGGATTACTTGCGTGGACATGGTTAAATATCGTCAACCCGCCTATTTTTGCAGTTATGAGTTCCGGTTGAAAGAGTGGGATAGCCGTTAATTTAAATCTGTGTTATACAGATTCCAGCAAACAATAATAAGTGAGCACTGTACCCGTTTGCTCATTAGAGAGAAAACAAATCGAGAATATATTCATACTTTAAACTGTTGTCTGTCTAGCAATAAGTAATGTTAAAATACAATGGAGTAAACAGCGAAATAAAGAGCATTGCAAGTGTCGTTATCAGATAGTATGCGGATAAGACCGGCCCATATTATCACACTGATAACAATTGATCTCTACGTGAACTCATTTGTTGGGAATTCTTGTGATATACTTTTTAGTTGATCAATTATTTCTTTATCACTATTCGAATATGGCTGCTAGGTCGAGTGTCGTGGTTTCGGTTCCCAAAACGAGCAAGCTTTCATGTGATGTACAGGTTCGTTTGCTTTTTGTCTGGATGTGTAATAACTATGTATGTGTATGTATTTAAAGATATATAAGTTTTTTTTATTGCTTAGATGGGTGGACGAGCTCACAGCCCACCTGGTGTTAAGTGGTTACTGGAGCCCATAGACATTTACAATGCAAATGCGCCACCCGCCTTGAGATATAAGTTCTAAGGTCTCAGTATAGTTACAACGGCTGCCCCACCGTTCAAGCCGAAACGCATTACTGCTTCACGGCTGAAAATAGGCGGAGTGGTGGTACCTACCCGTGCGGACGCACATGAGGTCCTACCACCATAAGTATGTAAATCAGTTTGATTCGCAGTTTGGAATTCTAGTTTGGTGCGAGATGACAGTGTGTAAATTGTCCCCGGTTATTATTACTATTATTACTAAGCATCGTCGAATCAGTAATAAATACACAAGTTTCAAATACTTCATTTTACTTCGTTTTAATAATCCGCAGTCGTATTTTATCGAACAATACATTTATGCCCGCATCGGCTGGAGTTACCGCTGCACCCTCCTGATTAATTCATGTTTTATTACCATACTTATTTCGAATTCATATTACTTCGTACTTTGATTTCATATTAGTATCTTTCGAGTAATAAGGCTCAAAGGCTGATAACACCAACTATGCCGTTGTAAATAAACAAGATGATTCCGAGTATTTTTAAGTTGGTGTCACTTTTTATAATTAATCTTGTATTGGGTATTTCCTTACAATATATTTCAATAATACACGCGATTTGGCTGCGTAATGAACTAAGCTCAAAGTTTACTATATTTCTGACTCATCAATGGTTAAGTTGTATGTAAATCCGTATTGACGTCAAATTTTTGCAAATTAACACCAGATCCAGTTGTGACTGCGATGTAAGTAGATTTATATAAATCTGTTTTTTATGTAAATCGTCTATCGTATACCGTCTTAAATTGATTGTTATGGAAGCATATTTGATTTTAGCGGTAGCTAGCATAGAACAGGAGAATTTGGACAAAAACCTAAATTGCACTTACGACATTTTCAAGATAAACTTGTATTTATGTATAAAAGTTCTACCGAACAACAAATGTTTGCTTGGTTGAAGACTTACAAGATGTTCTTTTCTCCAAACGAATATGAGTAGTTTGGTTTATTATTTCATGCTCATTTTCGTTCGCGCGTAATGTGGTCGATCAAGTTCAAACTTTTTACCATTGTTGTTATTGACTAAGAAAGGGTTTCAGCATAGTACCATCAACTAGGAATAGATTTGAATAGACAGCAGCTTGATTGTACCTCAAGCATGACTGATATCCGTCGGCGATGTTTACTATCAATATTAAAACGAAGATGTGGCATGAGTAATCTCAACAAAAGTTTGTATTCCGCATATATGAGTCACAGTAAAGCGTGCTAATATTAATTAGTATTATTGTAGCGTTCATCTGTAAAGACATCTAATATATGAACATACAACCAACAAGTCTTCATTCAATTTAGGCGTTTTTCATGTTGAATTTTTTGGTAGACGGTAAATAGTTGAAATATTTCATGGAACTCAACATTCCTAGGGACACAACCAAGCCGTTGCTTCCAGTATGAAAGTTTTATTTTTACAACAACTATTAAATACACGCTTATTGACAAAATAAACATTTACTTGACGTTAAATCTTAGAAAATATTCAAGTAGGCATTCCGAACCAGTTTCCAACAACTGGTACCTAACCTCTCAGCATTAATATTAATTCGGGGCCTTGAAAGATCTCGGAGGCGATATTTTCGTAATCAATAAAAACTCGACGCTGAGTTATAATTTATTACATACTGCATCATAATACCAAGCATAACACTTGGAATTATAGTCAATAGCCTCCTTGAATATTGCCGCATCCAGATTGACTTATAGGTCGGAGTGAATATTTGCGATAGACATTCCGGGACTTAATTTACAATATTTCCAAATATATTACAAATATTTTTGGATACACTCCTGTGTTTTGTGATTAGAATAAACAATTTAGCCTAATTCGTAGTTATTTAATGTAAGCATCTTCCAAAAATTCCATATTTCGAATATTTTTCTTAATATGGCTTGGCCTGTCTTTATAAACGTAAATGAAAGAAACATAGCGTATTTAAAAAATTACAGGCTGTATGAAGGTTATTAGAGGCTTTCGTTTGATTTTTCAATTAAATTAATCTTTGACCACAAAAGCGCGTCTGAAGTCTTTAATTTGTTTGAGGTCTTCTAACTTTTGTACTGTGTAATATTTAGAGAAACACTAAATACTTCTTCTTTAAAAAATTTTGAAGATTGGACGTGAATATAGATTTTTCTTTGAAAATTGTTTCGAACTTTCGTAACTCTACATCACTACATACTATAGCATCTCTACAATTTTCAAATGAAATACCATTTAATTCCAGTGAGTATAACATCGAAGTTGGTTATTACACACAATTAGTATTGCCCGCGAGGATCCGGAAGTAGGAAGCCGGTCCAGGGTCGCGTCATGCGCACACGTCACCCAGGAGACCACAGCGGCATTCATTGAGATGCATCTCAGCGTCGCTCTGGGTTGATAACATCGCGGCGGTGTACACACTCGCTAAGAATTGCGAACCTCTAAGGACACTGTACCGAGACCGCGGCTAACGGTTGAAATTTGAAAACAAGTTTTGTTAATTTATAAATCTTTAACATAAGCGTGTCTGTATATTGAATTTATTAAAAATAAAATTATGATATTTAACTCGTATCTGGCTTAAAAAAATGTTGTCTATTTGATAATTTTTAATTTATATCTTTGTTCGTTCGAGTATCGTGTGAATACCACTAGACCGATTTTGGGGAAACGTTAGATATTTACATAGCTTTTTATTTTATTACAAAAACAGATATATAAGTAAACTAGTTTTTGATAATTATAAAAATAAATATAATTGTTATAATTATTTAGATGTTAAATGACTGTTAATATGAAACAAAGAGTTTTGTTGTATTTTTACTAATAGACATTGCAATTAATTTAAACTATATAAGAACATTACGCGCGCGGACACATCGAGCATCCTTAGTTTATGTTTTGATGTTGGAATGCTATTATTCAAGAATACCATCTCGGCGAGATATTAAGCGGTATCAAAATTGTTTTGCGTTTTTTATAACTGTAAATTTGCTAAATGACTACATTAAAATTATATTGAAAGCACTTTAAATGAATTGCAAGTGCTTTAGAATCAATAGCTTAATTAAATTCAAGTTAGGATCATCTTTAAAACTATTATATTATGTCAATAATATAATAAAATATTCACATTAAGATAAGAATAAAATGCGATTCCGATAACGATTGTAGGGTTGGACAAATATGAATTACTAGTTAATTGTAATTAACACTTTCATAATTGTATAGATAAGAAAAAAGAAAAGAACTAAACTATAATTTAATATTAAAATATGTTGGTTTATTGTGAGTCACTGAGCGTTGCCGACTTTATTTCTGATCGTAGTTAATTGAAGCCTTGATGAGTCGACAACATAAATTGTATAATTCCAATACCTACCTTATATATTTGTTCATAAATTTGATGTACAAAATAATTTTAAATGATTTCCAATTATGCAATTGTACTGGCAGATCAGGATGCTCAATAATTCGAATGATTGTTTACGTAAGAGTAGTTCTTTACCTTAGCAAAGGTTTTTGACAAGCGTAAAATAGTACCACGCTTTGCTGTGACTTCCAGCATATATTTGTTTAAATAATAACAAAAAAACAGAGGGGAATTAAAAGCGTAAGACAAAAAACTCAAGAAATTTATCATTGTAAAGTCGTCGGTCATGGCCGGTACACGATTTAATGCAAAATTAATTCAGTTACTTAATGTTTGTTACGAAAACTTGTTAAAGTAAATTTCGTACGCTATTTTCATGGAACGTTTTAATTTATAATCAAGTAAATGAAGTATTTGAATATATAATTAAATAAAAATTAATATCACCCTTATAAATTTTGAGTAGTATTAATAATCATTCAACACTTATTTGAGGATGTTCAATTGGTACAACAAATACTTTCGAATTATAAAATCGAATGATTAATATGAAATCGATTTAAAAATAAGGAAATCTTCAGAATGTCAAACTATAAAAACTACATGATCATTTTATTATCTACATAATATGTTCTAATTCGATTTTCCTATAGTTGCGAGACATATCGCAATAATTCGCCTAATTTGCAATGTTTTTATGAATTTTTGGAGTGTGCGATCGTCGAACCCGTCGCTTGTTTGTGCTAGACAGCAGTGTTAAACGACTTGTCCTATGGCTAATTATTATTATCTTAATAACTGGCTTCATATTTTTAAATTCCATGTTTTTTGGTTTTTCTTAAAACCCTAAAGAAAACTGCGTAGCGAACCCAACTTAAGTTATTCTCAGGTCACGAGTGCTTTTAATGTCTCGAAAACTGCCGCAAAACAATTAGGATTAAAAAAATAAAATCTCAAGAGTATTTTACCTCGTTTTACAAATTCGTCTAAATCGAACACTCTGATTGTCTGTGCCTTCTACAGTACGGCCAGTTTCTATCAATTATCCAAAAAAAATCTTTCGGCAAAGCAGTTAGGTAAGAGATCCAATGTCGGTGAAACTTGTGCCGCGTCGTCGTCACCTCAGACACGCTTCGGTGAGCGGAACATTGCTGGCGACACCCCTGTTTGATTTGTGATTTCTTTAGTTAAAACGTTTAGTTCAATAACACAAAGGAAAAGGATTGAAAATGTTGAATGACGAACTAAATGTAAGCATAATACTCGTAAGAACCACAAATATCTTGTGCTACAAATAAGGACCGTATTGATTACGGGAAAACCGTTTTCTTTCTTAATCTATATTGTACAAATCTGTATAATATGACTTGGTAGGTCGAAGTCGTCGTGGCCTAGAGGATAAGACGTCCGGTGCACTCGTTTCATACCTTGCACCGGTGTTCGAATCCCGCAGACAGGTACCAATTTTTTTAATAAAATACGTACTTAACAAGTGTTCGCGATTCGCTTCCACGGTGAAGGAATAAAATCGTGTAATAAAAATCAAACCCGCAAAATTATAATTTGCGTAATTACTGGTGGTAGAACGTCTTGTGAGTCCGTACAGGTAGGTACCATCTCCCTGCCTATTTCTGCCGTGAAGAAGTAATGCGTTTCGGTTTGAAGAGTGTGGCAGTATTTGTATTTTAAAATCTGTGACCTTAGAACTCATATTTCAAGGTAGGTGGCGGCATTTACGTGGTAGATGCCTATGGGCTTCGGTAACCACTTAGCACTAGGGTAGCCGTGAGCTCGTCCACCCATTTAAGCAATATGTAAATTATAATTCTCATTCCAATCCTTCGAAGTTCTGTAAGAACTTTTTTTTTTTCCAAAAACCAAGAGTAAAACAACCTTATCTCATAGATTGATAATAGAAAGATAAATATTGTGTTGCGTACTGTACGCGCTTGATTCTATTTGGGTCACGTTAGATACATATGTGGGTAATGTAAGATTGACCTGGTTCTTTAATAACCGTTTTATTGCGATTTCTTTCTAATTACTTTTTTGTTGGCTTGTCTTAGTTGTAATAGGCCAACGAATCAACGGCTCATCTACCGGTAAATGGTTCCCATCGTCAATAGATGCCAGAGACTTAGCCAAGCCAGTACCTACCGCTAAAGTCTGGTTCAAATCCCATTTGTAGAAGGAGATGTCGTATGTCTTGATGGACACCCTAACGAGGAGTTCAGAGATCACTAAAGTATTTTTGTAGAACCCTAGACTAGTAGCGATCCGTTAACACTAATAGGCAACATAACACCATTACCAAAAAAATCTAAAAAAAAAACAATACTATAGGTGCTCTTAAAACTAACAACTGAATTCATATGCTGATTAGATTATTTTTTTATTGCTTAGATGTGTGGACGAGCTCACGACTCATCTGGCATTCAGTAGTTACCGGAGCCCATAGACATCCACAGCCTCGAGATATGACTGCTAATGTCTCAGTTTTTACAGTACAACAGCTGCCCCACCCTTCAAACCGAAGTACATTATTGCTTCACGGCAGTAATATGTAGGGTGGTGGTGCCTAGCCGTGCGGACTAGTGAGACGCTCTACCACCAGTTTAGACCATATTTATTATACGTAAATGATTGAAATATTTTATTACTAAATAACATCTAAACATCCCAACCAAGTCAATTAAATGAAATGAGATGAGATGATATGAGATGAAATATAATCTCAGTAAAATGGTGGTCATTTACTGAGATTTTTTCAGTGGACATATTGGAGAATCCCGAGAAGTTACGTCCAGCGGCTTTGTTACATTTTCCCACATTTCTGCACTTTCACAGATATTAAACAGTTAATAAATCACAGTTATTACACATTTAAACCTGAAGAAACACTAAATAGACAAAAAAAAAACAAATCACACAACTTCATTCCTCGTGTTCCCGCCAAAAAGTCCACCAAGTCACGTTAATCACCAATCGTGACAGATGACATCATATGTAGCTGATCTTTGTACATTGTTGTATAATCTAGGGTTAGCTCTTCGTCGTATTGGCCCTATATTACGTCATCTGTAGCGAGGAAGCGTTCGACTGATTTTCGTAACGCTGAGATTTTTAATGCTAGTTTTTAATTAAATTGATGCATAGACAGTTAATGTTATTTGTGTTTTCGATCTAAGTAGATAATTTTTGTAAAAAATGTTAATCACGAATGTTACGCAGATCACTGTGAGGGTATTTAATATCACAAATATAATACAATACTTTATTTTAAGAATAAATAAAATTCTGAAAGTCGTGTTGCGCATATTTCGTCAATAGTGTGATAATATGTACTATATTACAAGCCTTCTTTAGTCTAGTATATGTTTTAGTTTTAAAAGCATTGGACGAATTAACGCATGAAACGTGGGCAGAAAATAAACTCTTTTTTTACATTAAAGAAAGTAGTTATAAAGGTAGTAAATCTATAGAATCGATGATATCAATCGAGACAGTTTTGATATTAACTTATTTCTTTAAATATTTTAATAATGCAGTGAAGCAATTTTATAAAAATAAATTTCTTAAGGTTAATTTATAATTATTATTTCCATGCCATCGATAGACTCAATGCCAGTTCTAAAATTTATTATATACATTACGCATTCTTATTTACTTCAAATAAAAATAATTTCTGTACAGCTCTTTTAAGCCCTTGAATGTTTTCATTCGCTGTGTCCTATGCTTATTTATCTAAGAAAACTCTTTTTTTTAAACGTTGTGGTAAATAAAATCTCGCCTATATTTACTGTGAAGTAACAATGAGTTGGACTTCGACTTCATGTTTGAATGTGGACGGCGACTTTCATATTATCTATGAGCCTTGATAACTAATTATCAATGACGTCATGACATAAGAAAATTGCCCACAACATGTAAAACCAGATTATCTATCTAACAAAGCCACACTAATCTAATATTTGAATGAATGAAAAATAAATTTCTGTATATCTGCTCGTTTCTTTGTGATCCGAACATCGCTTTCCTGATTGACTTGAAGCTTGGCACTTCAGGGATAATTTTCGTCCTGATACCAAGAAGGTGGCGTGCAAGTAGAGGCAACATAAAAGTACAGCACAACCGGGTTTGGTTTTATTAGTCCATGTGGAATAAAATTTAACCAATTGCAAAGCTAATGAACCACAAAGCTGAGTCATGATACAAGTGAAGTGTATAGCAGATGTTGTTTATATCGTCTTAATTTTTTTTTTGTTGCTTCTATGGGTGGACGATCTCACAGCCCACCTGGTGTTAAGTGGTTACTGGAGCCCATAGACATCTACAACGTAAATGCGCCACCCACCTTGAGATATAAGTTCTAAGATCTCAGTATAGTTACAACGGCTGCCCTACCCTTCAAACCGAAACGCATTACTGCTTCACGACAGAAATAGGCAGGGCGGTGGTTTAGTCGCGATAAAGTAGAATTAGACTTAAGTAAGTAAGATGAAGAAATAATACAGTTGAATTTTTACTAACCAACAAATTTCTTTGTTTCAGAAATCATCACATACGGTGCTTGAACTTATCGACAAATCCATATCATTTTTAGACAATTTTAACTCAATTATCAAGTATTTAGATAAAGAGTATGTAATTATATCCTCCAAGTTTTTTTTTTGATAACGATAAAATAAAGTCTATGAAATGAGAATAATTAAGAATACGACAGGAATTTCGAGGGGCATTATGGCAATGATGACTATGAGGGGCGGCTTGAGGATTCTATGGACGGTGGTGGCTGCCGGAGTCTTACTCACGAGGAGTAGCGCCGCTCCAACCTTCGGTACTACAGATAAGGCGACGGTGAGTATCTTCAAACCTAATCACTTTACAAACACATTAAATACTTACATATGTTCAGTTTTTCTGCATTTGATAAACAAAAGATAACAAAGCGAAATAGGTCATTATCAAAAGACTTTATTTGATTTTTGCCACACACATAAAATGTCTTTATTACGAATGTCAAACAAAATCCGTTTTTTTTAATGAAACTATAATCGTTTCAAGAGCAAACCCGAAAGATAAATGTTTTGATTTTAACATGCCTCTGTAATGACTCAAACGATAAACTGTGATTCGGTATCCGAATAAAAGACTAAGCTAGGTTTTATCGATATCCGTCCGCATAATAATTATTTAACATTTTTATTCTTCGAAATTAGATATGACCTGTGTTCAGATATTTTATCTGACTCAGTATTTCCGAGAATCGTTCACCGGCAGTTACCGGCGGCGCCCCCTTGTTTCGGAACTAATTGTATCTGTGTGTGTAAAAGATACTATATAGTAGTGTCGTATCTCGTGAGTGATTATAGTATGTTTCATTCATAAAACTTTAATATCCGGCCAAGATAATATGCTTGGTTTTCGCAGCCATTCGATAGGAGTTTGTTTGTCTTTTGATTTAGTTTGCGTAATAACATGCGCGTAATAATGATTCATTCATAACGCGATCCGGTACCTACAAGGTATATTGAGTCCGTATGCTGGTATTTATCGTTTTTTAATGGACATGACGTCACTATATCTTGTTTTTTTTTTAATTTACTTTATATTTTTATGTATGACTCATCGAATAGTTATTTAATTTAATGATGTCCTCTCAGGAATACTTTGTGTTTCGATATAATTTCACTGTTCACAAATTTTATATTTTACCACGTCTACTTTGATGAAACCATATCGAATGATAATAAGGAGGAGGTTTTGAATCGGGAGCATATATCGGTATATTGAAGATAGCATAACTATTGACGTACTGATAGTAAAGCATTGTGAAGATATTTATTACACGTTTTCATTTAATTTCTCTGAACTAAAAACGAAATTAATTTTACAAAACTTCAGGAAAACATTGTCAGAAAAACGAAAGCCTAATTCATTTCTAGACTCCTATATCCTTTGATATATCATTTAGGAAAACCCTTCCAATTCTAGCATTATAATAAATCTATCTATATTTAATGCTTTATTTTTTAGTTTTATTCATATTTTTAATGTTACATACTAATTTAATTCATATTGTTCACGTATTGTTAGAAACGAATTTTTCGTGTATAATTGTGGGTATTCCTTATAGGTTAAAAACACTAAATTATAATAACGCTACAGATTAGAGGTGTCACATAATTATTATTTATACAGCTATTTAAATGACTTTGTACAACCGTCGCCCCGTTGAAACATTAGGATGGGTTAATAGTGCGGGCCTAACGTATAATTTGCGTAAATAGTGGTGGTAAGCCCACACGGGTAGATATATATCACCACCTTGTCTATTTTCACTAAGACTCAAACCTTATATCTCACTTGATTGCGACATTCACGTTATCTATGGGCTTCGGTAAACACTCGTGGCTGCTTAATCACCGGTATATTTAATAAATAATAATAATAGTGAATTAATTAATGTAATTTAATCTAAGCGAGTTATTTCGCAAATTTTAAGTAATACTTCAACAAACGTTTTTTTCTGTTTTCATTCAATTCGTGGAAGCCATATCTTGGGTTCAACGCAAGCCATTTCAGGATACATATCTCCTTGTACATTTCTGAACAATATTTAAACTCTAACACTCTAACATAGCACATACACAGCACTCAACACATGCCTTTCAGGACAAATATCAGCTCCCTGTACACTTCTGAACAATATCTAAACGCTAACACGCTAACACATCTCGCGGTACCCTTTCTTGTACACCTCGTCTATCGCTTCCGTTGTCAGCTAAGTCACCATGTATTCATTATAGACGCACCCTTAGTATTGTTAATCTGTGTTACGATTATACGAGTACTACATCTTCATCAATTAGTTCATATAAATAATAATCTATTATTTCACTTTCCCCTTAACAATGACACGACATGTTGTGGGTCTTGACTTGTTAGAGCCTATAGTTGTCGTGAAGGATCTTTTTATTATTATTGAATGATTACTGGTAGCCCTGAGGCCTTTACAGTTTCCCCAGTACAGGGTGAAGTAACTATGCCTTCTGGCTTGTAGAGCGGAATTTAGATTAATAATAATTAATTATACAATTTCATTTTAATTACCACTGACACATTGTTGCTAATAACAACAGACTATGCTATCTTCAGCTCGCTTAATCAATACCTCTAGATTAAATCCATTAGCTTTAGGTATTACGTAAAAACATCACAATTTTTTTGTTTCTTAGATGGGTGGACGAGCTCACAGCCCACCTGGTGTTAAGTGGTTACTGGAGCCCATAGACATCTATGACGTAAATGCGCCACCCACCTTGAGATATAAGTTCTAAGGTTCTCAGTATAGTTACAACGGCTGCCCCGCCCGTCAAACCGAAAGGCATTACTGCTTCACGGCAGAAATAGGCAGGGTGGTGATACCTACCCGTGCGGACTCACAAGAGGTCCTACCACCAGTAAGAACGTAGATCACCTGTGATAATTTCCCTATAAGAAGCTTAAAATAGGTACACAATATACGGTCGGTTTTGTTTTATTATGATCTCGTACGTGATTTATCTTGTTAGGAAAACGTCCATAAAGATTCACCTATCAGACTGTTAGTTACCGAGAAGTGGGTCCTTAGCCACCGCGAATTCAACGTTCGCGTGAGTCACATCAACGTGTCATGCGAGTTTATTGTCTCGATGGGGTCCGAGAGCAACGAATGTATAAATTGTAACCGTTTCACGGAATAAGGTGGTACTTCATGAGTCACGGAACCAGTTGTGAGCTTGCTCGCCGTCAAGTTCTAGGTCATAGAATGCCTTAATTGAACACTTACTTATGACTTAGGTGAATAAGTGTATACTTAATTCATATACTTTGTTTTCGATAATTATGTGTGTACTTCAATGAAGTAACTGTTTTAGATTTTCCCCTTCCTTAATTATGATATGGAAATTTAATGTGTTAAGAAAATTGGGTCACAATAATTATGCTGCTATGTCTAATATCACGTATGACATTGAAAGCACTAATTTGTATTTTCTATTTGGCATTTCAAGTGTAAATATATTACTTTAATGTTTTCTGTCGCAAGAAGTTAAGGTCAAGAGGCACCTCGGTATCCACTTTTTGGCTGTCACACATCAAAATACGTTGCTTTATTTTTGTGGTAAAAATTATGTTTGATTAAACATGATTGATATTTTACATTTTATGTATATTTACACGTAAGTTTTATTAGTATTTTGATTTAAACACATTTGCCAATCTGTGATCATTTAAAGGAGAGTGGGCAATGGCAGCTTACAAAAATATGACTCATTTAGAAAGGAAAATACTAATCTCTGTCTAATATAATTCTCGCGTCATCTGTATTATTACTTCTCGATCTGAACTTAAACGCGTCATAGATAATTACCATTGCGATACAATATAAATATACTGAGAAAGAGAAACAAGTATTTTTATAAGAGAGCCGGTTTTAATTAATGATGATGTCCTTGAATTGAAAAAAAAAAGACTGTAGACATATCTAATCGATGATATCCAGCGCGTTTTCAATTTGTAACAAACCGATAAACGAAGTATTGAAATGCAGAAACCGTTACTAGGGATACGGATGAGTGAGCACGGCTTCAAGCGTACCACATCGGTTGCAGTCACGAAATCATTTCATACCCCGAAATTGTCAAGGAGCTTGTGTCTGGTGTTACATTAATGTCATTTACATTAATGTCATTGTCCTCAGCGGCACGTGGGCTAATGGTAATCTGATGGTAGCCACATTGTCATGGGTAAGGCATTTCCTGCTATTTCAAGCAGGTTTTTGTTATGATAAACGTATCCTTTTATAGAGTGTCTTCTGAACGATGCCGCCGGCTCGGTCAAAGAACAATAGCTCGAACAGAAATTGCCGAGGGCTCGTGAGTTCTTTGTTTCGTCACTTCTACCTTATGCGATAATACATTATAAAAATTCTATGCATGTACGAAACGTTCAGCGGTTATCTCTCATAAAATTCCTTCACCCTCTAAAAGAGCAATGAACTTCTTGAATAAAGCCTATTCTGTTGTTTATATTCATGTTTCTAAATTAGAATTGTAAACATAAACGAATTATGGTATAAAATAATAATATCGTTATAAGCATAGTTAGGATAAAATAAATCCTTATAGCTTACCTAAAAAATAAGCAAAAACCATGAACTATAGACGTTGACAGATTTTATTTACTTAACGTGATTGGCATTTGGCTCCTACCTTGAAACTTCTAGTGAAAGTCTCGAACAATAAAAGAAACTAAACATTTCTATTGACGAATTTTTATTATCATCAATAATTTGGAGGATCCTTGTATAGATCCGTGCACGTTTTTAATTTAATGTGACATTCCGTAATATAGAAGCAAATCCAAGCTTACGTTGTGTTGATTTGAAACGTTTTACTCCGAGAATCTTGCGATTAGATACAAACCCTACCAATAACAGGTCACGCTGCTATTATTAATCTGTCTTTCATGTTCATAATCAACTACTGGCAAACGTATGCGCTCAAAGATAGCATGCACCAAAGCTATCGAAACGACTATAACGTCTTATCTCATTAATACAAAGCATCACAAAGGAAGTCGATGACATAAATTTACGTTGGAACAGAACGCGTGTGCGCGCCACTAGGACAATAGAATATAGCCTCGACACTGGCACAGACAAAAACTGACCGGGTCACGTCTCATAATACGGTAATTTATTTCGATAACGGTAGTGGTAAAACACCGTTCATAAAAAACGACTCGTGTTTAAAACATCGCATTGGGAAATACGACATCCTTGACTTCTGAACTTTGAAATGACATGTCAAATT